TTTTTTTTTTAACTCAGCTTCATGGATTTCACATTGTGCATTAAATTATTTTCTGAACCTAACCTAAAAACCATAATTATTACACTTTTAGTGGTAAAGGCTTGTTAACATTATACCTTAAATCACATATTGCATAACAATTTCTACTTGCACAATAATTCATGCATGAGTGTGGCAATCAAAAATCAAGTTTAAATTGTACATATGAGGAGAAATTTTATAAGTAAACAAAGTAATTGCTAGTAAGCAGTGTTCCGGCAACTTTAATCAGTCGTCTAGCAACAGAAAAAAACATTAAATATAAAAAAAAACTGCATTCAAAATTGCGCGCCGTGAGAAGCTGCTYGCGCATATTCAATTAATTCCGATAAGGCATCTCTTGCGTGATTTGGTGACACGTCAAAGTACAACTGAATTTCCCAAACGTTTAAACGTTTTGGTTTTCACAGAATCGCGCGCAAAAAATCCCCAATTTTGAATAGTAAACGGACAAATTAATATAAAAAATTTAGTAAAATTAATGGATCCAATTCATAATAAAGAAATAAGGGGAAAACATAAACACTTGATTTTTATTGCAGATGTAGCAAGAAATAGCAAACTTATGAGCTATGTATGTATGTATATGTGTAGCGAAAGCCAAGTCTTATTAATAAGTTTTGATGTCATGCGGCGCATGCGAGTCATCAACAGGTTGAGAGGTTGAGTGTGAACTCAACTTCATGCTTTTACGTTTTCGATTTTTTTTAATTTTTACTTTTTTATTTTGGTTTTTTTAGATTTTGTGTTGAACTTTTTTAACATGTTTCATTCGTTCTAGCTTTTTATTTTTTTTAGTTCTTTTTTGTATTTTTTTTTTTATTTTTGTTTGTAATTTTTATTTTTTTGTGTTTATTCTTCCTTTGAGTTAATTTTTTCTTGCCTTTCTGTAGTTCGTTGTAGCAGAATTTATTACAGTATGTTAATTTCCATAGACATAAATTAATTGGCAGCTTTTTGTCAATTAAAAAAAACAAATGTAAATAGTTGAGTCAGTAACCGTTAGGTTGGAAATGAGTTACCTAATGGTGAACAACCTCTGGYATAAGCATTTATAGCGGGTTTTTCAATAAGACCGCTACAAATTGMAACTAAATTCTTTATTCCTGTGAGAGTACATTAGATGCCATTATTTATGGCACTCTATTTGTTTTGCAAGGCCAGCACGGGCACACTTGCAGAATTCCAGACGCTGAACTCAATTTTCGGCTGTTTTTAAGCAAAAATCGGACGATACTGCTGCAACTTCACGTTCTATATTCSTRYRAAGTTCATCAATCGTGGCTGGGCACGTTCACCAAACTTGCTTTCCAACAAATCGATTGTTACATGCGCTGTGTGGCTTGTGGCAYCGTYCTGTTGGAATCAYATGTTGTCCAAGTCCATATCATCCAATTCCGGTCATAAATATTTCGGTTATAATTGAGCAGTAGCTGATCATCACGAAAAAAGTACTTACAAGTACATATTTTGCTTATTGACGAAGCCATTTAGCCATAAATTCTTTGATGAAAATCCGGATCATTTTCAAGTTATTGCTCCGCCCAATTCACKAGCATACGACGATTCAGGTGGTCAAGCGGCTTCACTTCYTGCGTCAATTTGATCTTGGAAGGATGTAGGCCAAGATCTTTTCGCAAAAGTGGCTACAAAGACTTCAAACCGATGMCCAACTCTTGAGCACRACKTGTGAGAGATCGATTTGGGTCTTCTTCAATTGRCAACAATACTCTCAACACCACGSGCACTTCTTTGTCTCACTGACAYGGGAGAATTTTGTACTGTRSCTGTGGATTTAAATTTTTCCACTAGAYGCKCTATTATTGATCTGACAGGACGATTGTGAGGATCATAAATTGGATGTAGCAGTTGTAAAGTTGAGGTTACTGTCYCCGAATTTCGGTAGTAAATTTTAATAATTTGGATTCGCTTATCTTTCCATTATGAAAAGGCAAACCTTACTGAAGAGAAATATCARAGGAGCGGGAAAATRTSWCGTCATTTGCTGTCTCTATCGGTCTACTTTGTAGCGTCCCTATGAAAAGAYCCGATACTATAGATAAAGAAGAATATTTCTGATATGAAGTGAAAAAGTTTAATAAAACGTTTTTTTTTCGGCGAAATTATATTATTTATGCTGTTTAAAAGCTATGAGACGGTGTGTGCCACAATAGAACTTTCGAAAATTTCGGTTGCTTTTAGTGTTTTACTTTTTCAAAATAAGCTCATTAAATTTGGCTTTATTTGCTGGGTCAATTAAAAAATCATAATTTTGTAGCAACACACCTCTAATGCATAGAATATGTACATGCAAACGTATGTTCGCACATATGTATGTATGTACMGTAAATAATCATAGCGTGGCCTATTTTATGAAAGCGGATTAAATCGTACTTATCAGCGAAGTATTATTAAAATATACAAAATAAAATCACGCCTTGATTTCTCCTTCGCATTATTATATTAATATACATATAAACACTTATCAAATATGGTATACAGTTATACAATTATTACAAAGTACTTTCTGACACCAAATGTTAATTTTCGTTAAAGATTAAACCGCTTAACGTCAAAGTTCAGTAGCGCTAATGCAAATATAAACAAATAAATGAAAGCTTCTTTACAAGCATAACACAAAAATAATAAATAACATAAATAAACCACTATAATCAGCTAGTAACTGATAAGTAATGGGTCTTTTCAATTTCGCTTTGGATTTTCCCGCTTTTTTGAAATCATTTTGAAATAAAATAAGTTTTCACCGCTTGCTGGCTGCAACTCTGAAGTCCGATTGTTACACAAAATTTAA